TGGAAAGTATTTTGAGATATTAGCACCCCCTTCGAACCCAACCATGTAGATCAGAGAAGCAGGTTTGAGGAGTGGCGTACTGTATAGCCACACACTTGCTCAGACTTGTCTTATCCAATTGTGATGTGGAACGCATCGGGCGTGCAAAAACATTCCGTTAAATCCTGATCAGAGAACACGAAAAAATTGAGAATTGGAGCTGGCCCTTCCCTTTCGAGTTCCAAATAAACACCAAATAAATAGTCGTAGCAACCATCGCCATAGCCAGGAAATTTTCACCGCAGTCTTGGGTTGCACCATCCAAAATTAGAAGGTTTGCATCATCCAAATGTTGACAAGTCAGGTTCAGAATATGACAAGAAGCAGAAACGACGACAAGGAGGTTCTTGGGTTGAGCCCCCTCCCATATCAAAATTTGACATGTTGCGCAGGTACGTCGATCCAGCGTCCCAGATCGATATCACAGGCAACTGACGTGTGTCTTTGTTAGTGCCGGTCTCATCAGTGCCCCGGACGCCCCCTGCATAGATTTGATGAACCTCCTTAAAACCGAAGCCAAATACATCGGGTACAAGTTCTACATGTGTTGAAATGCTTCACACACACACACCCCGCAGCAGCGGGGCTTTTTTGGAAGATTGCACCGAAACGGATTCCTAGCAGAATCAAAACATCGGGCAAAAGGTGAAATCGCTCACAGGCCATCATCACATGAGGTCAAGATTGCGTTGACGCATGGCAAGCATATTGGCCACAATGGCCAATTCAGCGGGGAGTCGGCTCAGCTGATCCGGAGTGAGTTGGTTATGGCTGGTTGCCACAGTGGACATATTGAAATTAGCTTGATGGTTGGCATCACGAATGTCTTGTATAGAAGGCGGGCAAGGCAGACCACATCCGGGCTGAAACCATGTTTCCATGGTTTGCCGCAATGGTTGTTCTTGGTCAATGGCTGGTAGTCAGTTATCACAAGGCAGATTTGCAGAAGGGAATAACACGACTGTGCTAAGGGATCCAAAACCAGAACCAAGAAAATAGCACAAGCAGCGCCATAAAAATTAGGGCCTAAAGGAAAATCAAACCCTAAACCAAAATTTCTTTTGCCAGTTTGACACCAGTCCCGAACAAGCTCTATCAACCTTTGTAATGCGGTTGCTCATGTGGGGGTGAGCATATATATATATGTGTGTGTGTGTGTATGTATGCATGCATGCATGTATGTATGTATGTATGTATACAGGTATGTACGTATATACATACGTGCAGAAAGAGATACTGCAGAAAGAAAGACAGATAGGTAAGTAGATAGCTTATGGACGGTTAAACTTTTGACTTTTTTTTCTTGACTTTTCTGACGTCTGGGTTTGCCCGGGTATAAGTTCCCACTGCTGTTGCTGCTGTTGTCGGTGTCGGCATCCATGTTGTCATTGCAGTCGTAGTTATGATTGTGGCCACACTGGACATGTTGATGGGTGGGCTCTCTCTGGTTGCGCAGGAGTTTTGAGAATATTAGCGTATACCAGTAGTACCCGCACGAGGCGGGGCGGAAGTTGCTTTAGGGTTATACTATAAGATACTATAAGACCTTTTTCATCTATAGAACTTGCATGCGCCGTGCGCCAGCGAGGCCTGTGCGTGCGCGCTTTGTGCGACTGCTGCTGTCCAAGAACATGACCTGCGTGCGACCACGTTGCAATACGACGCCAAGCGAACATGTTCTTCACACTTCAGGCTGCACTCTTCACACCCCGCACTTCACACTTTGCACTTCACACTCCACACTTCATCTCATCTCACCTCATCTCAGCTCTTCTCATCTCATCCCATCTCTTTTCACATGTCATCTAAGTAAGTTTCTCAACTGCTTTCATTTCATCCGAGCACTGCTGAACCTTTCTCATCTCATCACAGTTCGTCTTAACTCATCTCAGCTCTTCTGCGCGCCAGAAAGCTTTTACTGTCAGAGAGAAGCTTTTTGACAAAAAACGTTTCTTTTTGGTCCTGGCATCCACAACCTATCCTTAACAAAAGACAATCAAACATAAATTACACCGCCGAAACACTAATAGAACTGAATTGCAAACACAATACAACTGCGGGCAACGGCGTCGGAAATTGCAGCTCCAAAATCGGATCTCGAGCCAAAGCCCCCCCAAAAAAAAGATTTTGGAGGACTTTCAAAGGAATTTTAAAAGGAAAACACCAGCGCCAAAATTGACAAAATTCATTATCGCAGCCTTGATGCAGCCACTCCACTACGATTGACGACGTCCAGCCGCAAAAGACAAAAGTATTACACATGCAGCCGCGACACTAAGCAACCTTGACACAGCCTTTACAATGCGTTTGGCACCATCACGCGGCTAACCCGCATGTATCTACGCACATGGCAACAGAGCATGACAACAATCTTGCAGCCAGCACACTGCGATCTGCAACCAGAGATTCAAGAAGTGCATAGAACTACGCACACACACACACACGACCAACCACTCGCTGCAGAATACAGAGGAGGAACCGATCACACGGAAAAACATAAGGTTTCGTGCTCCGGCTTCCTTCCCCACACAAGTCCCATGCAACATTCATGCAGCCATTACAATGGGTTTTGCAGCACCACGTACACATCCATGCAGCCATTACAATGCGGTTTGCATCCCCGCGTTGCAGAACACCAAGGAGGAACCGATTACGTTCGAAACGGTCCAAACCGCAGCCGCACACATAAGATACCCTCCATCGGCGCCTGCAGCCACTTTACACGGAAAAACACAAGGTTTCGTGCTCCGGCTTCCTCCCCAACACATGCAACATTCATGCAGCATCCCCGTATGGTGCTCAAAAATTAAATCTGACGGCTTGGCCCTAAAATATTTTAAAAAACATTTTTCAACAGGTGTCTATCATGAGTTTTGAGTAAGTCAGATCCCTATGATTTAATTTTTGGGACATGGGTCGAAAAGTGCAGCTGGTGGAGTAGCTTTAGGTTGGGCCTCTCTGGGTTTTATTTTTGCGTTTTGCTTACCTTTTTTTAGTGGGAACACACATCTCTTGTGCATGTGTTGGACAAAACATGATGAAAACAATGTCTGTTGCAAAAATATGCCATTTTTAGGGACATACATGGCGCAACTGACCTGTTTTGAATGGAAGTTGAGCCATCTATCCCCCGCATTTTGCATTTGACATAGATGGCGCAACTCAAGATTCTGAGCCATCTACTTTGACATCAGAGTGTCAGCTTCTTGTCTCCTGCAATGGCCCCAGCATCCCAAACCTCAAAATGAAGTTCTTCTACCCCATCTTTGGGTTTCCCTTTTCATGGCTCAAACATGGGAACCCTGTAAATTCATTTCTGATTATATCCACCGGAAAGATTTGAAAGTTCACCCTGTTACCAAACTTGACATGCCACCAACACAGGGAAAACAGACTGTCCTATGATTTGGGTTCAGTAGCCTGGGTACCTATGATTTCATTATATTCCTCAGGGGTGCAACCCCGCCTGGGTGCACCACAAGGGGATCATGCAGCCATTACAATGCATTTTGCAGCACCACGTTCACATCCATGCAGCCATTACAATGCGATTTGCATCCCCGCGTTGCAGAACACCAAGGAGGAACCGATCACGCTCGAAACGATCCAAACCGCAACCGCCGCACACAAGTTACCCTTCATCGCCGCCTGCAGCCACTTCACACGGAAAAACACATGGTTTCGTGCCCGGCTTCCTCCCCAAGACAAACCCCATGCAACAGTCATGCAGCCATTATAATTCGTTTTGCAGCATCACGTGTCTAACCCCTATGTCTCGACGCACATGGCAACAAAACCCGACAACAACCATGCAGCCATTTCACTGCGACCTGCAAGCCCATCCTTCGTCATTTTCTGTAGTCACCGCTTCCCTCAGTCACCACCCTGCGTCATCACCACTTCCCTTAGTCACCACCTCACTCAGTCACCACCCTTCGTCATCACTGCCCTCAGTCACCGCCCTTCGTTTATGTGATGTATTGTTATGTGATGCATTGTTGTGTGATGTACTCTTATGTGATGCATTGTTGTGTAATGTATTGTTATGTGATGTATGGTTATGTCATGTGATGTATTGTTATGTGATGTATCGTTTTGTGATCTATTGTTGCGTGATGTATTGTGATGTGATCGAATGCTGTGTGATGTATTGTTGTGTGATGTATTTTATGTGATGCCTTTTTATATGATGTGTTGGTGTGTGATGTATTGCTGCGTGATGTATTGTTTGGTGGTGTATTGTTGCGTGCTGTATTTTTTTACGTGATGTCTTGTTATGTGATGTAATGCTGTCTGATGTATTGTTGTGTGATGTCTTATTGTTGTGTGATGTATTGTTGCGTAATGTATTGTTATGTGGTGTATTGTTGTGTGGTGTATTGTTAGGTGATGTACTGTTTTGTGAATAAGTTTGCGTGATGTATTTTTATGTAATGTAGTGTTATGTGATGTATTTTTATGTGATTCTTTGTTGTGTGATGTATTATTGATTGATTTTTTGTTACGTGATGCATTACTATGTAATGTATTGTTTTGTGATGTATTGTTATTTGATTTTCTGTTGTGTAATGTAGCGTTATGCGTTGTATTGCTGTGTGATGTACTGTTCTGTGATGTATTGTTGTGTGATGTATTGTTGGGTGATGTACTGTTTTGTGATGTACTGTTATGTGATGTATTGTTGTGTAATGTGTCGTTATGTGATGTATGGTTATGTGATGTCGTGTTGTGTGATGTATTATTGTATGATGTGTTGTTACGTGATGTAGTACTATGTGAATTATTGTTGTGTTATTTATTGTTATGTGATGTGTTGTTGTGTGGTGCATTGTTGTGCTGTGTCTTATTATTGCTTCTCCAGTCATTCGTAACTCGGAAGATTGCTTCCCAACTTCCTTTGATAATGGCCCCGTGGCTTTGCACGGTTCTTGATTAAACGTGTTGAGAAAGCAACAGCCAAGGATTTGACCAGCGGCGGCTACTATTCATGCTCTGGTCAATCAGCTGATGTAGTTTCAGCTTCTGCAGTGAATTTTGCTGCGAGCACATTCCATCTGGCATCCTGGCTAGTAGTGTATTTCGGATTGTTCTTTTGAAGTACTGTGGATACGAACACCGCGTTTCGAAAGAGATCGCGCAACCTCCGTTGCATTCTGGTTTATTTAGATTTCAACATTATTTAAGGTACAGGAAAGACCATGTTTCCATGACAATAGATGCTGTCAGCAGAAAAGCGCGCAATCTCATTGTCGACGCTGCATGCGCAGCCTGCTTTCTTTTGGCTGGCTAGATGGCACAAAGTGGCCAAATTCAATGGAGCATGCGCAAATCTTTCAGAGATGGACGCAAAAGGGGGATCTCCGGACTTGCACTTTTGTTGATTCGTCGGGTTTGTCGTATCAAATATGCCGCTTCAAGCTGAAGGCAACGGATTGTTTCTTCGCATTAGTTTGGCCTATTCCTTTCAGGGGCTTACTTTTAACAGTTTGGTTTAAGAACCGCAGCTTTGGGGCGCAGCTTTGTAGACTAGCTGTAGAACGCAACTCTGGGGAGCAGCTTTCGGCAGCAACTTTGGGGAGAGCTTTTGGGAGCCGCTTTGGAGAATAGCTTTGGGGAGCCGCAGTGGAAACAGGTTTGAAGCATAGCGGCGTTGGGGCAACCGCTTTGCAGATACGCTTTGGGGAACAGCTTTGCGAAGCAGCTTTGGGGAACTGCTTTGGGGAGCAGCTTTGGCTACCTTTCCAGAAAAATTGAGGAATAATTGCTCTGAAGAACAGCAGCTTTCAGGGACCGCTTTACAAACCACTTCGGGGAGCAGCTTTCAGTAGCGACTTTGGGGAAGCAGCTTTCGGGAGCCGCTTTGCAGAATGGCTTTGGGGAGCCGTTTTGGGGTATAGGTTTGAAGAGTCGCAGCTTTGGGGCAACAGCTTTGGGGCACAGCTTTCCGGAGCAGGCCGGGGAACAGCTTTGGGGAGCAGCTTTGGGGAGCAGCTTTGGACAGCTTTCTGGACCAGCTTTGAGGCAGCTTCGGGGAACAGCTTTGGAGTTTCGGCTTTCGGTAGCAACTTTGAAGAGCAGCTTTGGGGGACAACCGTGGGGAGCAACTTTGCGGCTTTGCAGCAGCATTGGCGAACGGTTGCTTTGAAGAACGACAGCTTTGGGGAGTAGCAACTTTGGGAAGCGGCTTTTGGAAACAACTTTTGGGGGCAGCTTTAGCAGCTTGGGGGGGCAGCTGTCCGGAGCAGCTTGCGATAACAACTTTGGGGAGCGGCTTTGGGGAACAGCTTTGCGGAGCAGCTTTGGGGAGCAGCTTTGAGGAGCATCTTTGCACGGCAGCCTTGAAGAACCGCAGCTTTGGGGAGCAGCTTTAGGGAGCAACTTTGGGGAGCACCTTTCGGGAACCGCTTTGGAGAATAGCTTGGGGGAGCCGCTTTGGGGAACAGGTTTGAAGCATATACGCTGTGGCGCAACCGCTTTGCAGAGGTGTTTTGGAAAACACCTTCGGGAAGCAGCTTATGGGAACCGCTTTGGGGAGCAGCTTTGGCAAGCTTTCCGGAACAACTTTGAGGAACAATTGCTTTGAAGAACAGCAGCTTTGGGCAGCAGCTTTCGGGGGTAGCTTTACAGACAACTTTGGGGAGCAGCTTTCAGTAGCAACTTTCGGGGGCAGCTTTCGGGAACCGCTTTGCAGAATACCTTCGGGTAGCCAATTTGGGATATAGAATTGAAGAATCGAAGCTTTGCGGCAATAGCTTTGGACAGCAACTTTGGGGCGCAGCTTTCGGGAGCCGCTTTGCAGAATGGCTTTGGGGAGCCGTTTTGGCGAACAGGTTTGCAGAATCGCAGCTTTGGGGCAACAGCTTTGGAGAACAGCTTTGGGGCACAGCTTTGTGGAGCATCTGTGTCTTTGGGGAGCAGCTTTGGACAGCTTTCTGGACCAGCTTTGAGGCAGCTTCGGGGAACAGCTCAGTTGCTGGGAAGAACAACAGCTTTGGAGAGTAGCTTTAGAAAGCAACTCTGGGAAGCAGCTTTCGGAAATAACTTTCGGGGGCAGCTTGGGGGGGCAGCTGTTTGGAGCAGCTGTCGGTCATAACTTAGGGGAGCGGCTTTGGGGAACAGCTTTAGTGGAGCAGCTTTGGGGGGCAGAAGCAGCTTTGAGGAGCAGCTTCGCACGGCAGCTTTGAAGAACCGCAGCTTTGGGGGGCAGCTTTAGAACGCAACTTTCGGGAGCGGGAGCAGCTTTCGGCAGCAACTTTGGGGAGCACCTTTCGGGAACTGCTTTTGGAGAATAGCTTCGGGGAACCGCTTTGGGGAGCAGCTTTGGCAACCTTGCCGGAAAAATGTGAGGAATAATTGCTCTGAAGAACAGCAGCTCCATGGACCGCTTTACAAACCACTTCGGGGAGCAGCTTTCAGTAGCGACTTTGGGGAAGCAGCTTTCGGGAGTCGCTTTGCAGAGTAGCTTTGGGGAGCCGTTTTGTGGTATAGGTTTGAAGAGTCGCAGCTTTGGGGCAACAGCTTTGGACAGCAACTTTGGGGAGCACTACGGGGAGCAGCTTTGGGGAGCAGCTTTGAGCGGCGACAACTTTCCGGAACAGCTTTGGGGAATGCTTACTTTGAAGAACAGCAGCTTTCGGGCACACATTTTTAAGGAACTCCGGGGAGCAACTTTCAGTGGCAACTTTGAGGAGCAGCTTTGGGGGTCTGCTTTCAGGAGCACTTTTGGGAGCAGCTTTGGGCCTTTGGAGCTCTAAGGCAGCTTTCGGGGAACAGCTTTGGGGAGCAGCTTTTGGATCAACTTTGTGGAGCAACTGTGGGAGGCAGCTATGTACGGAATAGCTTTCGATGGCGCCTTTTGGGATTAACTTTTGTGGAGCAATTTTGGAAAACCACTCTGGGAAATAGATTTCGGTACCAATTTTGGGGAGCGCTTGGTGGTACGTGAAGTTGCGGGCTTCCGACAGGGATGGTCGACTGTCCATATTTATACTCCTTTCTTTCTGATGCGTGCGCTTGCTTCGGAAATAGATATTCTATTTTGTGACGAATTGTGTTTTTCCCCGAACAGAATACTGTTAGGGGTTCTCAATTCTTTCTTAAGATGTGTCCGCCTCTTTGTGACGGGTGGTGGCCGCCTCTCCGGTCTTGTCTGTGCCTTGTCTCCCTTCATTTGTCTCCCTTCATGTGTCTCCCTGAATGGTGGTGTCCGCCTCTCCGGTTTTGTCTGTGCCTTGTCTCCTTTCTTCACCAGCAATACACCCCATTGTCTCCTTTCATTTGTCTCCCTGAATATCCTGAATGGTTGTGTCCGCCTCTCCGGTCTTGTCTGTGTCTTGTCTCCCTTCATGTGTCTCCCTGCATGGTAGTGTCCGCCTCTCCGGTCTTGTCTGTGCCTTCTCTCCCTTCATTTGTCTCCCTGAGTGGTGGTGTCGGCCTCTCCGGTCTTGTCTGTGCCTTGTCTCCCTCCATTTGTCTCCCTTCATGTGTCTCCCTGAGTGGTGGTGTCCGCCTCTCCGGTCTTGTCTGTGCCTTGTCTCCCTTCATTTGCCTCCCTGAGTGGTGATGTCCGCCTCTCCGGTCTGTCTGTGCCTTGTCTCCCTTCATTTGTCTCCGTTCATGTGTCTCCCTGAGTGGTGGTGTCCGCCTCTCCTGTCTTGTCTGTGCCTTGTCTCCCTTCATGTGTCTCCCTGAGTGGTGGTGTCCGCCTCTCCGTTCTTCTCCCTTCATGTGTCCCCCTTCATGCGTCTCCCTAAACCCTATGATGTCCAACCCCTAGACCCTATCATGCCCAACCGTGGGTAACGAGTGTAAAGTGTGAAGTGTAAAGTGTAGCGTGTGGAGTGGTGGAGCCTGAAGGAAAGTGAAGAGTGCGGAGTGTAACTGTAGAGTACGTAGTGACAAGTCTAGAGTGCAGAGTGTCAAGTGTAAAGTGTAAAGTGCAGTGTGTAAAGTGAAGAGTGTGGAGTGTCAAGGTGCGGACTGCGGAGTGTAAAGCGTAGAGTGTGGAGTGTAAAGCGTAAAGTGTAGAGTGCGGAGTGCGTAAGGTGTAGTGTGTAGAGCGTAGAGTGTGGAGTGTAAAGCGTAAAGTGTAGAGCGTGGAGTGTAAAGTGTAGTGTGCGGAGTGTAAAGTGTAGAATGTAGGGTGAAGACCGTGGAGTATCAAGTGTAAAGCGTACAGTGTAGAGCGCGGAGTGTAAGGTGTAAAGTGTAAAAGTGTAGAGTGCGTGGTGTCAAGTGTGAAGTGTAACGTGTAAAGTGTAGAGTGCGGAGTGCCAAGTGTAAAGCGCAGAGTGTGGAGAGCAGAGTGTAAGTGTAAAGTGTAGCGTGTGGAGTGTCAAGGTTACAGTGTGGAGTGTAGAGTGTGGAGTATGGAGTCTAAAGTGTAAACCATGGAGTGTCAAGTGTGACATGCGAAGTGTAAAGTGCAGTGTGTGGAGTGTGGAGTGTAAAGTGTAGAGTAAAGACTGTGAGGTGTCCAGTGTAAAGTGTCGAGTGTGGAGTGTAAAGTGTGAAGTGTGGAGTGTAGAGTGTGCGATGACAAGTGTACAATCTGAAGTGTGAAGTGTAACGTGTACAGTGTAAAGTGTAGAGTGTGGAGCGGACAGTGTAGAGTGTGGAGTGTAAAGTTTAGACTGCGGAGTGTCAAGTGTAAAATGTGGAGTATAAAGTGTGGAGTGCCGAGTGTACAGTGTGAAGAACAAAGTGTAGAGTGTGGATCGTGGAATGTGAAGTGTAGAGTGTGGAGTGTTGAGCGTGGAGTTTAAGTGTAGATTGCAGATTGTGGAGTGTCAAGTGTAAACTGTGAACGGTAGAGAGTAGAGTGACAGGTGTAAAGTGTAAAATGTACATTGTAGAATGTAGAGTGTGGGGTGCGGGGTGTCAACTGTAAAGCAAAGAGTTCAGAGTGTGGAGTGTGGAGCGCGGAGTGTAAAGTGTGGAGTGTAAAGTGTAGAGTGCAGAGTGTAAAGTGTAGAGTGCGGAGTGTAAAGTGTAAGGTGCAAAGTGTAAGGTGCGGAGCATAAAAAGTAGAGTGTAGAGTGTCAAGTTTAGAGTGCGAAGTGTAAAGTGTAGAGCGCGGAGTGTAAAGTGTAGAGTGTGAAGTGTAAAGTGTAGAGTATAGGGCGCCGAGTGCAAGTGTAGAGCGTAGGGAGTGGAGAGTGGAGAGCACCTTCCACGCGTGTCTCACAGTTCGCACGTTGTCACCACTTCACACAGCCTTGACATTTGCAATTCGCCAGAAACACGGAACGCGACTCGTCTAAAGTGCCCAGCCTGGGGCGCAAAATGAAGATGGACACGTCCAAAGAGCTGCGCGTGCCATGAAAAATGCAAGGCATCTCGGCATCTTCTG